TGGGCTGTATCCCATCGTTCCAACGGAATTCTTGTACTAACCTTAAGTAGCTAGATCAAACGTGTATATTGATCAGTAATTGCAGGTTTTTGTGCAAAATAAAATGTTACGAAGTAATTTCCAAAAAAAAAAAAACAGAATTAAAAACAGAAACTTCTTTTACATAGAAATATAAAATCTATAAAAGAATTTCTATAAAGAAATTGGTTAATTTATAAATTTGTAAATTTTCAAAAGTTTGCCATATTTATCGATCGATCGAAGAAGATATGCATTTATCGTTGGTAGTTCTAGTGTTAATTTTATGTAAATAATTTTCTCGTGTTTCAAATAGTTTAGGAAATAACAGACTGTATATATTGTACTCGCAGACAGCTTGTAAAGGGGACGGAAAAGCGATGCGACTGGAGTGCGTCAGGGTTTGGGGGAGTGCTGACTTCGTTGGGGGGTTGGTGGGGGTGAGTTTCGGTGACGTTGCGCCGAAACGGAGGGTAACGAATGACGGTGTGTGGACGTAAAGGAGCAGGGAGGGGGAAAGGGAAAGTGACTGCAATAGGGGTGGCGTGGACGACTTCGGTTGCATCGCGGTTATAGGTTTGCGCGTTTTTTTTTGTACTTTGGGGTGTCGTGTATAGTTGGGTCGAGGACTCGTAACGAAATCTTTAGACGAAAATTTATCGGGACGGTTAGGTTGTTGCTAAATGGATGGTGTTTTTGGATTCACAGACTTTGAAGGATTTTTGTGTTGTCATGAAAAAAGGGTTTTTAAATCGAAGTAGAATACATTTGATTGTAGGGTAAACGCATGAATGAGTGAACACTTGAGAGATGTAACTATTAAGATTGAATTTTAAATGATAATAATATTAACAAATATTTGGCATGCGAAAATTAGATTTTTTAATATATCTACCTCTTTATAAAGTATAGATTTTATTTTAAAGAATCGCAAAAATGTAATTGGATAAATTAAAAAGAAAAAATACAGATTTCACCAGTGACTTAACAATATATTAAGTAAATGCACATTTTTAAATAGTGCCGAGAAAATTGTTTGGATATGAAACAAAAGTTTAGTAACAGTAGGGATTTTATTATTTAACAAAAATTTGTTAGATTTGTTAACGAGTGATTCCTTATATTCTGAAGAAGAAGGGATTAAATGTTGTTTAAATAAATGAAAGTGTCACTATGTAAAAAAAATTGAATATTATTATTGGATGGATTTAGGTATGTTCAAGGATAATACTACCCTCTTCTCCAGTAGCGCTTATTAGCACGTGACCGGCTTCCGTAACCACGTGACAGTGTCTCTCAACTTGTGCCTTTGGTTATGACGTAAAATATATGAAATTTTACTTAGAAAAATAAAACAGAAATAGGAACATCACTTTGCAATGTTTACAAATAATAGACGTATGCATAAATAATTTTTATATGCAACTTTTTTTTACGCACTTTGATTAATTAGATTTTTTACCTTATTTTTTTGTAGAAATCAAGGTGACCTTGAGTTTTTTTAAGGTCAATGCATCTTTCAAAATCACGTTATTGTCGATGGAAGGACGAATTCGGGGACCTATACCATATGGTATTAAAAAAAACGCATTGACCTTGAAAAAAACTCAGTCACCTTGCTATATAAACAAAATTTTCAGTAATACCATCATGCTATAGATCGTTGAATTCGTCCTTTCATCGACAACAACGTGGTATTAAAAAAATGTATCTTTGATACAACCGATTAGGTAATGAATTAATTTAGATAGTAGTTCTTCTTGACTCACCATGTACGTTCAAGGAACATTCTGTATAATATTTGAAAAATTACAATTTTTGGGGTGTAGTATAAACAGGGTCAAAGTCTGTCAGAAAGGAAAATCCTCGGATATGCTTCCCGAGCACAATAGCTACTCGTACACGCGGATGACTGGCTTCTGCCAGACCTATCGACGACGCATCGTCATGGAAACGGCACCATCGCACCACTGTATTACACTGCATATGTAGTCCGTCGGAGTACATACATTACGTGAAATACACACGTTTTCAAGGCCATCGATCTATCGCCAGTTCGGGAATAAGTATCGGAATAATCCTGAGGGAAGTTCCATAAACCGAAACTATACAATGCACGTCCAAAAATAAGGAGGACAGACTCGTGCTGACGTACAAAGTTCAGAATGACAAAAAAATTGATATTTTGCAAAATTTTTTCTAAGTGGCCAAAATCCAAAATTTCATCCGGATTTTTACGAATTTTGGAAATCAAGGATTTTGGAGGTCGCTGATAACTAGACTGCGGATTTTTATGCAAAATAATATTTTTTTAAATGATTCATGAAGACAGGGGTAAATGTAGAAACTTATTTTTCCTTTTAAGTATCTCATTAGGTTCAGAATAAAATAGAAAACTCGTTAGATCCGACGAAATTTTGGCTTTTTAGTGGATTTCGCAGTCCTGGAGGCTATAAATGCATAAAATACGCAGTTTACTAATAACAAACAGTGGTTTAGAATGCGACTTTTGTGTCCAAAATGAAAAACACTTTCATATCGACTGTTTCTGTCAACAAAAATATAGTTAATATAACTAATATAAGTAAAGTATGATAAACACCACAAAAAAATAAATCAAAAATATATACATATACAAGTACCTATAGAAATATAAAAGATTATTTTTATATCGATTTCTTTTCAACAAAAATATCATTAATGCAACTATTATAACTAAAATACGATAAACCACACAAAAAAATAACGATATCGTTATATAAAATCTTTGAAATCATTATAATAAATTTCACTACACTATAATGTACATTAATTACTGTATAACTAAATTATGAACACTGTGCATAACTATAATATATAAAAAAAATTTAACATATAGAAATTTTACACTTGAGAATATACAAGATTATGTGTAAAAGCACCTCTAGGACAATAGTGATCTAAATAGTGATAATTTGGTGACAATATGGATAATTTTGTTATTTTCTGCTATTCAATTGATATAAACAAATTGTTCCAAGAGTTATTACTGTGATAGATGGATCAAACATAGGTTTTATGAACTAAAATGTTGAAACGGATTCTAAATTCCTCACTATGTAGGGTGAATTGCGGTATCTATAAGCTTTCAGGTTCTTTTTTTCTGAATATTTTTAGGCCAAATAAAAGGCAGAACCTGTAGGTGTCTATGGAAATTGGAGGGTTAAGGTTCTGGGTTACATACGAGTGTTGTTTTTCAAAGTCCACTTACAAAAAGTTATCCTCAAATTTATTGTAAACTGCCAGATTCTCTAGGAAGATTGTCGGTATTAGGCAACGCAACTCTTGTAATTTTTAAACATTCACGTGGCTCCCCTTAAAGCGAACAACCCTACGGCTACCGATAGCTTGGCCATCCAACGTGGTCATTCGTCATCACCTGGCGACAGGTCGCGTGCACCCTCTTTTGTGGCCTCCCGCAGCTCAGCCATAAATTCTGAAGTCTCTCTGTCATAAATTCTCCAAAGTCTAAAAATAACGTTGAACTGCCCATTTTCAACTTGCACTGTTTTACCAGCTGTAGCGAAAGGTTGAAATTCATAGCGAAGTGGTCAAATTCGTAGCAAAGGGATCGTATATTAATAGCTGAAGAATTAAATTTCTAGCAAAAAAGGTTTGAATTCATAGCTGAAGGGCTTTAAGTTTGAAACGAAAGGTTCAGATTCGTGTAATACAGGGGTCACATTAGGAAACAGTTAAATTTACAGGGTTTTGTACAGGGAAAGGTTCAAATTCATAGGAAAAAGGGATCTGGGTTAGGTCACATTTTTAGGGAAAGGGTGAAATTACAGCAAGAAGGATCAGACTAGTAGTAAAAGTATCAAATTGGATCGAAAGTGCCAATAGCGAAGGGTCAGATTTCTAGCGAAAATTTCGAATTCATGTCAGACGGGACACATTTGTAGCGAAAGGGACAAATTGGCAACGGAAGAATCAAATTGGTATTGACGGGATCAAATTCGTAGCGAAAGGTTCAAATTCGTATCAAAGGGGTTTCATTTGTAGTGGAAAGGTGGAAGTTTTATTGAAAGAATTAAATTGACGTAATAAAAATTGAATTGGTAACGACAGTATGAAATTCGTAGCATAGGGGTTGCAATTTATACTGAAAGAATTGAATTTGTAAGAAAAGGTTCAAATTCAGAATGGAAGGGTCAAATTTGTAACTAAAGGTTCAAATTCGAATGAAATGGTTCACATGTGTGGCGATGAGATTAAATACATAAGAAAAGGTTCAAATTCATAGGGGAGGGGTTAAATTTGAAACTAAAGGTTCAAATCCCTACCAAAGTGGATTTGTAGTTAAAGAATTAAATTTGCAAGCAAAAATTCAGATTCATAGCAGAAGCGTCAAAATTGTACCAAAAAGAACATGGGCGTAGCCAGGTTATTAGTCCAGGGGAGGGGGGAAAAAATATTAACACATCAACTGCCCCAGTGAAAAAGGCTGTACGTAGCCAGACACACTTTATTTTGTTTTTAAAGTCATAAATCGTTGAAAACGTCTGCGTTTTGTTAATAGAGGCTGCTGGTCGCGTTTCAAATTATACTGCAATATTAAATATTACGCAAAAATTGTGTTAAATATTACGCAAAAATTGGGGCAAAATCCAATTTTTTCCATCCAGGGGGGGATGGAAATGGATAAGGAATTAAAACCTGGCTACGCCCATGAAAAAGGAATTAAATGTCTAGCGAAACAATTAGATTGTTGTCAAAGGAATCAAATTTCTAGTAAGGGAATCGAATTCGTAACGAAAGGTTCAAATTCTCGATGACCTAAAGACGCGTTCGGAGCGCAATTGGGGGTATGCGTTCGATGGGTCAGCGATGTATCCTAGGATCGGTAGCGATGCGACGGTTGTGTCTGGTGTTTCAGGAAACTGACGAGAGAGGGTGGAATGAGGAGATTCGTCCGGTGACCTCGTGCCACACGCGCGGTAATGCTACTGGCGGGCGGGGGCGCTTCGATACCGACCATCGCCGGTACCGTCGAGGAGGAGGACGAGTACGCGCGCAGCGAGGCGAACAGCGCCCACTACGATGGCTACGTCACCGATCATACCGATCTCGCGTCCGAAATCGACATCGACGAGTCCGAGTATAGGCGTGAGCTTCTCAACGACGTACGTAATGGATGATGAAACTTCCATAGATCGTTACCCCCCCCCCCCATTTTCCATCACAGATGAAAATAAAAAATATGCTGTCGTCACTAAAATTTCTTTTAATTATTTCAAGTTTGTATACAGGGTCCTCCAGAAGTCCTGGAACGACCAAATACAGTAAATTCTCGATTAGTGTTCGAAGGTTTCTCGGCACTGACAAGAAGTCACAGTGATAGAGCTTAAAATTCTAAAACTAATTATCGAAAGTCGAAAACGAAATATTTAATGTTCAGTGCCGAGGAGCCTTCGAACACTCATCGAGGATTTATTGTATCTTGGAAACAAAGTATTTTTGAAAGAAAATGTTTCAGACAGAAGGTTTAAACGTTTATGAGTTATATTGAATAGTCCTGTCCGTTGGACCTTGAGTGGAGGCGTCAAGGTTACGTCAAGGTCGATATTTTTGAGGTATTTGACCGTTCTGAGACTTTTGGAGGACTTTACTGTATATCAAAATGTGTGCAAGAATCAGTGTTTTAGTTATTTGCAAATATAGAGGGTATTGTGTTTATCTTGGATTCTTTAATATCTTCGTTATTTTTATCGATATGAGAAATTGTATCAGGACAAAGTTATTTGGTTCAGAACGACGAATATTGTGATTCATGATTTTTTTTTCAAGGTCATGTTTTTCGAGTTTTCCAGGTCATGGATATTTTTTGTACATTAACATTTACTTTTTATAATGTGTCATTGTTTTAATTTAACTTAATTTGTTTAATTTAACTACCTAGAACACCATGACCATCAGATGACCTTGAATGATAAAAATCACTTTAGTAGAAAAACTAAATGGTGGATTTTCGTAAAAAAGCGTCGGTCGTAATAATTAAAATATCATTGGATTAAATGTCAATTAAAATTATAAAAATCAATGATTAATCTCGTTTTATTTGCTTGCAGAAATGGCGGATGCTGTTCGACAAGGTACGTAAAGAAATTTACTTGGAAAATGCACGACCATTTGGTGCATAACTGATTCTTCCTGTTCAGTTCGATCCGGAGGGTTTCGGCGAGATACCAGTGGAAGATTTTTTGGCGGCTTTGAAGAGCGCCGAATGGAAAACGGAGATACCGCCGAATAAACGGGATATCCTCTTAACCAGGGCGAAGGAGTCGCGTGCTCAAGCGGTGACGTTCCAGGATTTCGTCAATGTGGTGAGTAGAACTATATTACAATTCGGAATCGTGTGAGGCGACGCTATTCAAACATTTGTTTATAGTCTCTTGACGCCCTGTTGACAAAAGGAAATGTCTGTAAACCCAAGTACTTATCAGCAACAATATCAATTTAAGTTCAATTTTACATTGAATCTGGTACGCTAATATACAAAAAAGTGCATGTCTGATAACAATCGAATTTTAGTTCTTGGATTTAAAATTTTAAATCTTAAATTTTAGTATGCTCTTAGTAGGCGAAAAATTATAGTGATAATTATCGAAGGAATTTAGGGTTACTATTTTACAGTCACTATCTAGAGTAGCCTTTTAAAGCAACTACTTATAGTAACTACTTATAGTCACTATTTTATAGTCACCATTTAGAGTTACCATTTAGAGTTATCATTTAGAATTACCATACAGAATCAGCATTTAGAATCACTATTTGGAATCATCATTTAGTCACCATTTATGGTCACTATTTCGAGTAAATTTTTAAAGCAACTACTTATAGTCACTATTTTATAGTCACCATTTAGAGTTACCATTTAGAATCATCATTGAGTCACTTTTTATAGTAACTACTTAGACTAACTTTTTAAAGTAACTACTTATAGTCACTATTTATAGTCACTATTTAGAGTTACCATTTAAAATTATCATTTAGAATCACCATTTGGAATCATCATTGAGTGATCATTATAGTCACTATTTAGAGTCACTTTTTATAGTAATTACGTAGAGTAACATTTTAAAGTACCTATTTATAGTCACTATATTTATACTGTATCCTAGAAGAAGAAAAAACACAAGTGAGAAACTATGAAAGGAATGAAAGCAACGAAAGAAAACACTGTTAGGAAATATTTGAACGGACGAAGGAGTCCAGATAAGGGACAGGTGCAATACAATTGGCCTTGCTCCCTTCAACCTTTACTGAAGTAGATTCCGCGTGTTATGGTTCACTCGGTGTAATATGAAATTCGTTAAATCGATAAACATTAACACGTCAATTTCCACGGTGGTTACCAGTGACCGTCACCGTGCTTGCTAACGACATTCGTCTCAATCGGATCTTGCCGAATGGCGGCGGCTAGTCCTCGACTAAAATCGTGGAAATGGGAGACCCGTCGGAGCAGAAAAGGTTTGCGACAGCCTAAATAGACTTATTCCACTCGACGACCGAGTTCTTCGGGAGGGGTTGGTGTTCATTGTCCGTTTTATTTGTCAAGCAACTCGAACGGCTACGCCCCGGAATTTCGTTTTCCACGTGAAACGACGGAAACCGACAGCCAGAGGAGGTAAACTCTGGTAGATAAACATCGGGACAATGATAATCTCGGTGTTTAAAGGCACCGATTGTACGCTGGTCTTTTGTGTAATATGCGTTTCGAAACCGGCTGACATGTTTCTTTTTTTTTTCGACGGTTTTGACTCCCTTTTTTTTCTCCGAGGACGTTTGAGTGGCGGAAAATTGTCCCTATATACAGGGTGTCCTACCTGACTTGAGCACTTCAAATATCTCACTTTTTCTTGATGATAGAAATAAATATAAACAGTAAATATCATTTGGTTGAAAGGGGCAAATATTGTGACAAGCAAAAATAGTTTCCCAAGGTTATATTTTTCGAAGTTTCGAGGTTCGATGTTGTTTTTACATAGACCTACATATTTTTATCATTTTGGTGTAACCACTTTAACATTCAAGTGTTTAATCAGCTAATTAAGTTGTTTTCAGTCTGATAGAGGTATTTGTTCATGTTAAATGAGTAATAATTACTATTTAACCTACCATATTCAGTATTTTGGTATGAACTTTTACAAAATTATGTTTGATGCAAAATAGTGAATATAATAATGAGTCAGAAACTGTAAGCATAAAATAGAGTGATGAAACTAAATTAGTGTGCTCTTGACTGGAGACATTTCAATACGTAGTGTAATGGTGTCATTTCTGAAATATGTGTAATGAATTAATTCATTTACTTCCATTTAAAATGTACTCGCGACGAAGAATCTCTGACCTAAATAAAACATTTATATTTTTTCCCATGCAAAGGTTCTATCAAAGTAAAAAGTCTCTTGTAAATTATTAATTAAAATAAAAATTTCAGCTGGATTTTATTAAATTTTCCATTTCAGTGCATTTTACTGTAAAGAATTATTTATACATCTAATAAATATTAGGAGATTATACTAAAAGTCTCTCGGAAATTGTTAATTAGAATAAAAACGTCAGTTGCATTTTATAAAAGTTTTCGTTTCAGTGTATTTTACTGTAAAGAATAATCGATACATTCAACGAATATTAAAAGAAGATAGAAAAAGTCTCTCGTAAATTATTAATTAGAATAAAAATGTCAGTTGGCTTCTATTAATATATTTATATTATATATTACACTTTTGTAAACGTTAATAATTAATAGTAATGTTATTTTTTACGAAATTGTAGTAAAGAAAATTTATTCAGTGTATATTCGTTGGTTGTACCGAGCGAAGTTATCTCCATATCAAAGGGAGAAATCTGCTTCTGTGTGGTTTTCACGAACGTGCTTAGTAAACCGAGATAAAATTCAGTCGAAGATTACCGATAAATCTGGAGGATTTGCAAGTGCGTGCAATAAAAGGGAAAGAAAACCTTTTGAAGATTTTCTACTGTTCCGCGTATAAATGTGGCCCCTCTTTTACGAACGGATTTCACTTTATGGAAAGATTTTTCAGACACTCTAGTTAACCAGGGACCTTTCATCTGAACCGCGTATTCTCTGTAGGTAAAAAGATTTGTTTATTTTACTGTGATCTCAATGGATTACTCGTCGACCACTGTCACTGAATAAAATAAATAATATTTTAGTAAAATTGACCAAGGAGGGTTTTGGCAATAAAGTGTCTAATAACAATGTGTACACGAAAATTAAATTAATTCTATTATAAAATGTGTTTAGATGACTTTTCATTTTGTATTTTATCAAGTATTAATATAAGAAAATTTTATAATGTAGAATGGGTTGATTAAATAGTTAGAAATGTTATAAAAAAAGATGCATTGACCTTGAAAAGACTAAAGGTCGCCGAGATATCTCTCTCTAAAAAAAAAAATAAGATTTAAAAAATCAAATTGTATCCATCCGATGCTACATAATTCACAAAAACGTTTTTCGATACAACCAATAGGTAACGACTTATTTTAGATAGTAGTTCTTTTGACTTACCCCATATAATATACAAGTACTAATAAAATACAATGTCTAAAAGTGTCATTAATGATGCACTGAAGAGTACATGTCTATAATTTTTAACAATAAACCATATCACATTTTTTTACGTAGTTAAACAAAGTTTACAGAACACCTTTTCAAAATTTGTATTCCAATGTCACTGTTAAAAGACTCCTTATTGAACCATTTTCATTAAACACTACACAAAACCTTTTATTCCTACTTCACTGTAGCTTGTAACTAGAAAAAAAATAAATTTAATTCACCTATCCTTTAATTGAATTTACAATGGTGGAACAGAATAGTCTAACAATGTGAACGGTACTCGCACGATAAATCCTTCAGCGATCGCTATCTGTTCCACCGCTGATCAGAATGAAAAGTGAACCCATGGCCAGCACCTTTCCCACTTCCTTCGTGGTTTGTTATCCGAATACCGGGAATTTAGTTCTTTCTCCGTACGAGAGACGACACACAGGATGCTAGGATTAAACCTGCAGGTGGTTAAAGGGTAGACGCAATTATTCAGGAGCCTGGAATCGCAAGAGCATTCTCTCTTTCTCTCACTACGGTGGTATGATTTATGGACGACGGGGATCGAACGACGGAAACCAGGATTTCCGTAGCATGTGCCTCTCTATCCCCCACCATCCTCTTCTCACACAGTCTCTGCCTCTCCCTTCGCCTATGTCTTGTTTTCTCTCCCTATTTCACTCGCTCTTTGTCTTCTCTGATTCACTTTTGCTCTATCCCTCTCGATCTCCATGTCCTTCCTGTATCTCTTTATTTATTTTGCTCCCTTTCTACCTCACCTTCTCTCTATTTCTCTCTTCTTCCTCTAATCCTCTTTCTATTTCTCTCTTCTTTCTCTAATCCTCTCTCTGTTTCTCTCTTCTTCCTCTAATCCTGTTTCTATTTCTCTCTTCTTCCTCTAATCCTCCTTCTATTTCTCTCTTCTTCTTCTCATCCTTAGGGATAAACCGATACTGTCAAGGTATCGATACTTTTACTCATAACTTGTGTCAAAAAAAAGTATCGATATCTAGTTAGTATTAGATCTAAAGTATCGATACTTAGGGATAAACAGATACCGTCAAGGTATCGATACTTTTGATGCGATGTTAACTAGATATTGATACTTTTTTCGATACAAGTTATGAGTAAAAGTATCGATACCTTGACGGTATCGGTTTATCCTTAAGTATCGATACTCTAGATCTAATACTAACTAGATATCGATACTTAGGGATAAACCGATACCGTCAAGATATCGATACTTTTACTCATAACTTGTGTCGAAAAAAAGTATCGATATCTAGTTAGTATTCGATCTAAAGTATCGTTACCTACTTGTATCGAAGGACAACGTATAGAAAGTTCTTTTTTATTAATATGATGTATTTTAACCAGAGTTGAGCAGACTTTTATTCGAATAATACACATTAAAAGACTGCAGTACCTAAAGGCGTCATCTTGAACTTTAAACATTTAACGAGATTGAATAATTGTTTGCCAAATGTCGACTTATTCCGAAAGAAATATTATTTTAAACGTTTAACCGATTAAAAATGACGAATTACTTTTTGATCTTTTATTCGTTATTCGAAACTCTCCGTTTAGATAATGAATTCGCCCATCTCTGATTTTAACGAAGATATACTTTGTTAATAAACATATAGTAACGAAGACATAATTTTATTAACGAACACTTATTTACAAAATAATATAACTGGACGACAACTACTTTCACATTCATCAGCTTTCATATCGATTACTCGCTCCATTCGATACCAGTACTTTTTTTCGATACCGAGTACACATCGCAACTGGAAGTATCGATACCAAAAATACTCGGTATCGAGACGAAAGTATTGATTATTTACTTGTATCTACTTAGATCGGTTCATCCCTACTTACCCTTCTTCTATTTCTCTCTCTTCTCATTCTATTTTTCTAATCCTGTCTCTATTTTTCTCATCCTTTCTCTATTTCTCTAATCCTCTTTCTATGTCTCCTCTCTGTCCCACTTTACGTGTATGTATCTTCTTCTTCTCTTCCCTGTGTTTATCTTCT